ACTCTGAATCTAATTCCAGCTCCAAAATGTTTTCTGATGGGGAGCAATTTTCAACAGGATGAGAACCCAGCTGACCTCATTTGCTTATTGGGAACTTGATGAGTGTACCCATTAGTTGTGGCATGATAATCATTTCATAATGTATACTCCTCAAACAATCACATTGTACACCTTAAATATATGTAATTTCATCAGGGCATTGTGGTGTATTCCTGTAATCCAAGCATTATGGCGGGAACTTTTCTATTCAATGACTCTGTGTGTGTGTGTGTGTGTGTGTGTGTGTGTGTGTGTGTGTATGTGCACAAGCACACATGTTTGTCTGCCTTGTACAACAGCACATGACACTTTTCATCCCACAGAAGGAAGTAATAAGTTGGACCACTGATGCAAGAGAAAAGAAAGATGTCCTCATCTATAGCTTGATGAATACAAATTTCACGGAAAAGTTTCAGTACTGAATCTGCCTCTAAGAATCGTGGTTATGTAGAAAAGGAAAGAAAGAAAAGGAACACCAAAGATAGAAATATTCATTTAGCTACGTAATGATGAAAATGAATTAAATAATAAATAAGTTAGTTCTCTGAATCAGACAAATTATGAATATCTGAACTAGGAAAATTTATATGAAAACCTACACCATGAGATTACTTTTAGTATTTGTGAACTTGCACAAGTATGAATATTTTGATTATGGATTATATAAGTATAAAAGTAGATAATAAGGGATAATACAGGGACGACTACCACACTTTACCGTGTTTGCACTAGGTATTTCTTTTTTTAATTTTAAAGATAAAAGAATGAAAATTTATTAACAAACACACAGACATTTACAAAATAGCACAAAAACAATACAAGTAATACAGAATTTCAGACAAGGTGATAGGAAATTAACCATGGTTGTTGTATTACATATTCTTATCTTCAAATTGGTCACTCAGACAAACAAATATAGTCATGTAAGATTGATCAAACAATAAAACATTAACTGTTCCTTTCAATAAAGCAATAGAATCAGCAGTAAAATTATCTTAGCCATCCAGTGTAGACATATATACATATTTTCCCTTCTTTCTTTCCTTTCTCTTTTCTCTCATCCCTGTTTTCTTTCCTTTTGAGCAGTTTCTTTCACTTTCACAATATCTATTGTACCTTTTAGATTTTATTTACTCTTTCAGGTTCCTACACTATTGAGACAATATGGTGTTTACACATGCAGGTCTGATTTATTTCACTTATGAGTATGGTCTCTAGTTGTGTCAATTAATCTATAAAAGCCTCGAGTTTAACTTTCTTTATAGCTGAATAATATTCCACTGCATAAAAATACTACAACTTTTTTATCTGTTCCTCAGTTGATGGGCATTTGGGTTGCTGGTGAAACCACTGTGGAAATCAGTTTAGAGATTCCTCAGTAAACTGGGATTAGAGGTCCCATTCAACCCAGCTATTTCCCTTTTGGGTATTTTTCCAGAAGAAATGAAAACATCATATCATAGCAATATATGTGCACCCATGTTTATAGCAATGCAATCTGTAATGCACTAGGTATTTCATTGCAAGAAATAACAAAGGATAATTTGAAGCTCCTCACTCAATGTACTTGAACAAATGGGACTTTTTCCTCCCAAGGGAAAATTACTAGTGTGTAATAATGTTATAGATTATTCTTTCACAATCTACAGTATGTTTTGTGAACTTTTCCCAGTAAGAAAATCTGCATTTAGTTGGCTTTTTAAAAGTTTTTTAGAAACAAGATGGTACTGTATATGTGATTTATAATTAGTCTTCTCTTGCTTTTATTTTCTAGACTAATGTTGATATAGTCAGTCCTCCCTCATGAATCTTATCTACCAGAATATTCCATTATATTGTCATAAGAAAGTTCATTTCACCATTTCCAAACTGATGCATGTGATAGTTACTGTTTTTATTAAAGACTGCATAGGTAATGAAGAGCCATCATGGAGGACATCACCATAATCAAGGTGGAATGCACTGGAGAAGAAAGGAGAGGAACAGAAGGGCATATGAAAAGTGAATCCTATATGTCTCATATTTTATTACTTTACTTAAAATGACCTAAAACAGATATAACAAAAAGTTAATATTTTAACTTTAGTTTTAGAAAAAGGGGAGGTGGGCTCATGTGTCGTTCTTGTTGCTGATTATGCTATCTCTGCTTCTCCTATTTAAAATTTTTGATAGTTTAAGAAAGTAGAATGTGGGGATTGGGAAGCTTCTGGGTGAGGCTTCATGCATCTTCACCTCCTCCCCAAAGTCCTCACAATCCCCCTACAGGAGTAGGAAGGTGTCTTCTGTACAGTTGTGGATCAAGAAGCAGAAAAGTGAAGATGAAATGAACTGATTTTTAGGATATAATTCTGTTTGAGAATTCACATACTGAAATTAAAATACCAGTATTACAGAAAATGACTGCACTGGAAATATTTCTTTGAAAAGGTAATTAATTTAAAACGGATTCATTACAATTAACCTTATCCAATAGGACAGAGGTCCTGATAAAAAGAGGAAATTAGGACACAGACATCCACAAAGGAAGATCATAGAAAGACACTGAAAGGAGACAACCACGTATACACCAATACAGAGGTCTGAGGAGCATCTTCCCAGCCTATAAGACTATTAGAGTCCACCATGAGGGCAGGGGGACAAAAGACTAGAACAACATAAGACCCTGCATGCAGTAAAATATCACCTTTTGCAGCAGAACGAGTTTCAGCAGGCATGTCTTGAAACCCTGACAAAAACTACAAAAGAAGAATGTTCGCATGGTGTAGGAAATTGTTACCAAGAAAAAAAACCTAAACAAGTAGTCTCCACTGCACTTTCAGCTTTTGTCTCACAGTTTCATGCACTGCCTTCTCAGAGGCACACTTCTGGCTTCCCAGGCTTCTTCTGAAATCTGGGTGGAAGCTTCCATAACCCTGTAACTCTTGAATTCTACATACTTCTACATTCATCCAGCACTGTGTGGATGATGCCAGTGTCTTTCACCAGCTTGAACAGTAGCCAGATCCTCTTGAATCATGGCTGCAGTGGCCTGTGAGTGAGTGCCTGTATGACTGAGCACTGTGAAATAAATTCTGACAGGCCAATTCTCCAGCCAAACCTTTTCAAGCAGGGTTCCCTAAGGCTATCTTTTAGAAGCAGTTTTTCACTTTTGGACCCTGAGCCTGGGAATGGTGGGATCTTGCTGATGGGATGCCCTCAAAGTATCCTTTCTAATGTCATGATTTGAAGTACGTGGCTTCTTTTTGTGCTAGTCTTGCCGTCAGCCAAAACTGTACAGGCATTTGCTTTGTGGTGAAAATGAAAATTGAGCCTCATGAAAAATAAGAGAGCATGGAAAACAAATGAATAGGTGCTAAACCAAAGATATGATGGAATGTTAAACATACGATGATGAAAATAATAATTCAACACTGGGATGTAGTTTACTCGTAGAGCAGTTGCTTAGTGTGAGCAAGGTCATAGACTCAGTCTCCAGTACCACAAAATAATAACAATAATAATAATAATAACTAAGATACAGAATTCATTCATTACATTTACACTTGGATGAAAAGAAATGAATTGATACTATAAATCGTAAAGGCACACATAAAGAGATGATAACAGTACATTATATACATATATATATATATATATTTTTTTTTTTTTTTTTAGACAGTCTCACTAAACTGCCTAGGAAGTCTCAAACTTGTGGTCCTCTGCATCAGCCTCCTAAGTAGTTGGAATTGTAGGCATGTATGTACAACCACATCCAGCTAATACATTAGATTTCTGTGAAATTTAATTTTTTAAATAAATAAGTGCAATACTGATAATCAAACACTGGTTAAATTTATTCAAATTCTCCCTATACTTTATAAGAACATACAAAAGTATGGGCTCAGTCAGATAATCCCAGATTATCTTAGCACTAATTCTAATCCCAGCACTAATTCTTTGAGAACTGACCATCCCAGATTATCTGACTGACTATCTAAACTGACTATCTAAAAAGACCCTTTATAGATGTGAGAACCATTCACCCATTTATCCTGGAAATTCATATTCAAAGTGATGGAAATTAGAACACAGAAGTATCAATAATAGCAACCATTCAACTCATGCCAAAGAAGTTTTCCACATGACTCCAAGAAATGTCTACCACAATGAACTTCTAGTTTTCTGTACCTTGCCCCATGTCCAGGTACAACACCTGCATGTACTGCAATCAACTGGTTACTCTGAGGAAAACAAGTAATAAAAAATTCTCCTCATATAGGACTGAATGAAGCACTAATTCTCAAAACTGTACATTCACGACTTCCATTATACTTGTAGTCTGCAATCATTTACTTTAATTTCTCAGTATATTAGACTTGTAATGTCTTTTCTTTGAGAACTGACCATCTTTTTACTTTTAAAGTCCCATTATCCCAAAACCATTTATATCTCAGTCAACTGAGATATAAATTGAAAAACTAATGAAATGTGGTGGAAGCTAACATGACCTCAGAGGTTGCAGTTCTGAGGGAATATTTCAGTAATTATTGACCTGAATATGAAAAGTTATTACCTTCACTTCACAATGAGTCACCTGTGGGGTGCACCCTTTGTGGTCCTAATCAAAGGAATAGGTTGAATATAGCCTCCAGATACTAACTTGACCTTGTTGATAACTTTCCCTGTCTTAGCGATCCACTAAAAATGTCCTTCTGAGATAGAGCCATAAAATTTCATTAAAACAGCCACCATTGAGGTGCTGCTTCAATGGAAATGGAGCAATGAAGTGCAGCATAGGAAAAGAAATCAGTTGTTTAAATAATACAGAGCTGAACAAAAATAAAAGGTAAATCCAATATGAGATATCGTTAGCCAACATATAATGCAGTCATTTTTGGAAGAATTTAGTGATGGACATTCAGGCACTCAGGTTCATCAGGATTTCTATCACTTTAATTTATTCTACAAACTCTAACCCAAAGTCAAGAACACAATCCAAGAAAAGGTTTCCTACCAAACAGATGCCTCAAAGCTCCCTGTATTTCCCTGTTTCTCAAACTGTAGATAAAAGGGTTCAGCATTTGAGGGATCACAATATACATCATTGAAGCCACTATATTCTTAATAGGAGAGTCGCTGACTGCAGAACTCATGTAAACTCCAAAAGCTGTCCCATAGAACAAGAACACCACTGAAAGGTGAGACCCACAGGTGGAATATGCTTTGTACCTTCCATCTCCTGATGGAATCCGCACAATAGAGGAGACAATTTGAGTATAAGAAAAAATAATCCCAGAGAGAGGAACACCCGCAAATAGGCTAGTCACTGAATATATCAGAAGGCTATTGATGAAGGTATCAGAGCAGGAGAGTTTGATGACCTGAACAAGTTCACAGAAGAAGTGGGGGATTTCAAGGTCTGTGCAGAAGGACAACCGCAGCACCGTCAGACTGTGGATTAGGGCATTCACAGTAGTAATAAGCATGGAGAGTAGAACCAGCAGGACACAGAGTTGAGGGTTCATGATGACCGTGTACCTCAGTGGGTGGCAAATGGCCACATAGCGGTCGTAGGCCATGACTGCAAGGAGACAACTTTCTAATCCACCAAAAATCAAGACAAAGCAGATCTGAGAGAGGCAGCCTGTGTAAGTGATGCTATGGTCCTGTGTTTGGATGTTCACCAGCACCTTTGGGATCGTGGTGGTGCTTGTACAGATGTCAGTGAAGGACAGGTTGGAGAGGAAGAAGTACATGGGGGTGTGGAGGTGGGAGTCAGAGCTGACAACCAGGATGATGAGTAGGTTTCCCAGGATGGTGACCAAGTACATGGACAAGAACAGGCTGAAGATGAGGGGCTGCAGCTCTGGATCATCTGTCAGTCCCAGGAGAAGGAATTCTGAAGCAACTGTTTTGTTTATGGGTTCCATACTGCTAATGAGTTTATCAGAAGATATGGGGTGAAAAAAATGAATGATTTATATACAAGTTATATAAGAACAGCATTGAGATGATGTTAGGTATGAAACCTCCTACTACCGCTTTGCACTACTTTGGTAAGTTCTGGAATGAGGACCAGTAATACATATTTTAACAAACACTGAAAAAGAATTTGGTGTCGCTAACATTGGAGAACTAGTGCTTAAAATTTTTCTCTAATTTGTGTTAAACCACATATCATTCAAATCTTTGCTTATGTTCTTCCTCCATTCCCCTTCTCTACACCTCCTCTAACTCCCATTGCCTTTATAACATACCAAGTCTTACTCGCTCTTTGCACCAAGTGCTGAAAATGTAACAAAAAGTAAGACATGGATGTTCCCTCAGAATTTTTCCATGCTTTCAACTATGAAGAAGGGTAAGAATGAACATATCAAGTCTATCTTCTTGAGAAATGGTCTCCAGCTGTGGCACGCCTCCAGAATCACCTGAAGCCTTTGTCAAATTATGGAGTCCATAATGCTTGGCAGAAGCTAGGTCAGAGAACAGATGATCTGAATCCTTATCAGACTATTCTTTGCTAATGCCTCTGGAGAATACACACGTAGCATTCTTAAATGATCATGCATATCTCACACTTTCTTTTTGAAACCTTAATAGCTTCCTTGAACATAGCCTCAAAATGTCTCTTGACTTTTAGGTATGCTTTCTTCTATCCAATACATTCATTGCAACAGGTGCAAGGCATCTATCCTGATGGATGAGAACAAAGATTAGAAAATGTTGCCAATAAGCTTGTAAGCCTCCCTTGCAGATGGAAACAAATTGGTCTAGCAAGTAAGCTGGATAACAATGCTGAAGCGCTGTCTTATCCTAAAGGAACTGCTTCCTTTGATGAGATAGGCAGCATATCAATAAATATAGTAAACTAATACCAACGAGCTAAAAAGAGAATGAATACAATGCGGTGTTGCCATGAAAACAGATGAAAATAAAGACAACTCTTGCTCTTCAGCAGATAGAGACTCACAAGATATATATTTTTTAAAAAACAATCAGGTCTCCTAAAAAGAGGGTCCCTGGAGAACAACGGTCTTCCTCTCCTGGGGAAGAGAGAAACGGTTATGACACCGATGATCATTTGGTTTCATAATAGACTCACTCACTCTGAATTTAATCTAGGACCCTGTATTAGATATATAAATGGGCACAACGTTTAGTTGAACAACAGCCCTCTGTGTTCTCTTCTGCTTAATGGGAACTACCTGATAGATATGTTCTTTAGCAGTGATGTGATAATCAGTTCACAATGTATACTTTTCCAACCATCATGTTGCATATCTTAAATATACACAATTTTTAGTCTTGTACTAATATCCCAATAAATTTAGGGGGCACTCCCTGGAGATGTTTCAGTCATGTAGAAATAAGTAGATGAAAAGCTACCAGCACAGTGCTAAGCAAGTGGGATTCTCCTATAGATCTCTCCTACAGTTTACATGTCTGTGTGTGTCCTGTCTTCCACGAGCATAACATGTGGTATTTTTCACCAAGGAGAAAGAAGTGATGGTTTGGGACAAGAAAAATAAAGGCATTAGTGGGTGCCTTATTCTTTAAGTGTAAGGTTTCATTCTTTAATAAAGCTACTCATATCTCTAAATTATACAATATATTTTAGTTAAGTATGAAGTCAGTAGCTCTGTTTTTAATTTCTCCCTCTTATGAATATTACTGAATGTTCTACACAGATTTGGACCACTTTTTCTTTAAGCTTTTGCAGTTCATATATTCTACACTTGAAAATGTGTTATCAATCAATAGTAGAAGTGTCAGTAGAGAATTTATTTAACTTTGTATTTCCTAAGTTTAGTTCCAGCTACTAAAGTGTGTAAACTTTAAGACTTTAATATTTTTCTTAAATTAGTCTTATACACAAATATTTTCCTATTGGTACAGTGGTCATTGTGTTTTTTTAACTTCTGTATTCTGACATGGTACAGACATATGTGTTAATCAAGTGAGCAAGGTGGCATATATAAAATAGAAAGAGAAGCTGTGTAAATCATAGTATCAAATTTTGAAGTTTGGGAACTCTAACCTGTACTCTTTCTCTACTTCTTATTCAAAAAAGATGCCATACAGACATACTGGAATTTTCATATTTGCATGAACTTTCCTGTACTTTTAGCATACATGATGGACTTAATTTTTCTTGAATATTAAAGTTTTCTAATTGCTATAAAAAAGAAATGAAAGAAAAGACATCTCAAGCTTAATGAATGCAAAACTCAGTGATGATTTTCTAAAACCAACTGTGGGAATCCTGGTAGGAAAACAAAGGAAGGAAAGAAACATCAGTGGTGTCAGTGGTAGCAGTGTTTCCTGGTCTGGATATATGAGGACATGTAGCAACGAAAATGAATTAAATAAATTAGATACATGAATCACTAAAATCATAAATATACTAGATTCTTTGTCTGTATTGGGGATTGTACCCAGGACCACTGCACTGAGCTAGACCAGGACTCCTTCTCTGACACACACTGCCTGTGCCCTATCAGCATTTTAAGCCTTCGGCCAGGGATGTAGCTCAGCGGCACAGTGCCTACCCAGCAAGTGCAAGGTCATGAGTTCGATTCCCGGTACCAAAAAAAGAGAATTTTTAGCCTCAATTCCTGCCCAAATCCCAAATTCTGAACCTAGAGATAGGCAAGAGGGTGGGAACATTTAGCCTTGGGCATCTGGCCTACTTGCAAGTATACGTATGGTACGAAGGAGGAGCCAGTGGGTGGTGGCACATGCCTATAATTCTAGCACTCAGGAGGCTGAAGCAGAAGGATCACCAAGAGGACAGCCTGAGCTACACAGTGAGATCAAGACCAGCCTGAACTACACAGTAAGACACCACCCCCCAAATAAAGGGAACCCAAAGTTGCCAGGTTCACCAGGTGCGCACTGCACACGTGATGCAGCAGAAGGAGCTGGCCGAGAGCAGGCATTCAGGGCTGGGGTGTGCCTCAGTGGCAGAGCACTTGCCCTGTCTGCATGAGGCCTGTTTGATCCCAGCACGAAAGAGGGACAGAACAACAACAATAACAACAAAAGCATAGATCCAGCCCCAACTAAATGGTTTAAATCTGGCTCCATCTTTCTGTGCCTCAATTTCCTTATCTAAAAAATGGAAAGGAGAGTATAATTTCTGCCCTATAAAAGACAGGGCTCTTGTGAGGACTGAATGCATTACTGTAGTGAAGTGCTTAGAACAGGACTTAGTTCTTGAGACACTGTCTTGGTTACTTTTCTCTCACTGCTGAGACAAACTACCTGACACCCAAAATTAAGGAAGGAAAGCTTTACTTAGCTTAGAGTTTGTGAAAGTTTCAGTCCATGCTTGGCTGGCTACAAGGCAGAGTGGCGCATGGTAGAGGGCAACAGTGCATGGCAGCGGAACAGCAAAGCAACAACATGCAAAGGGGAGGAGCAGTGGCAAGCAGCCTGTTTCCCTCCCTTACATTGTATGCAAACTATCCGCCCCAGGGCAGGTGTAGCACTCACACCCACAATTCCAACATTGGACTGTGAATCAGTCCTAAACTCTAAAAACCTGCCCATGACTGCATGTGGCTCTGGGGGGACACTCAGACACAAACCATAACAGACAGTCTCATTAATTTGCCCAGGTCAGGCTGGAAGTTGTGATCCTCTGACATAGATTTCCAGAGTGGTGGCATTACAAGTGTGTGCTGCCATACCCAACTAGCAAAAAAAATTTATATGAAAAAAAATCTACATTTCTTGAAATATGTAGAAAAACTGTAATATGTTTGAATGCAATCTTGTAGGTATATTTTCACAATGCATAAAAGAAAGTACAGAAAAAAGTGAAGGGGTTGAACACAATGGTCACCATTAAAAAAATTCACACATTTCACCAACCTTGCTTCAGTTGTTTTTATTACAGAAAATAATAGAGACATATGTGAGGCCCTTTACTTCATATACTCACACAAACTTGAGTGTTTTTCCTTCCCTATAGAAATTACCACATCTCAGTGATACACATTATTCTCCCAGAATACTTTCTTACAACTGATGGCATTTTCCCAAACAATAAATCTGCAGTGTGTAGCATTTTAAGCACTCGATAAAAGCCAGGTGTATTGGTGCACACCTGTAGCCTCAGCATTCTGAGAGGGTGAGGCAAAAACATCACCAAGTTTGAGCCCAGTCTGAGCAACTTAGTGATTTAGTGAGAGCTTACCTCCAAACAAAAAAGGGCAGAGCTGTAGTTCATTGTGAAGACCCTGAGTTCAATCCCCAAGTACCACAATATCATTAATTAACAAATACATAGCCAGGGATATAGCTCAGTAGCACAAATGACTGCCTGGCAAGTGCAAGGTCCTAAGTTCGATTCCCAGTACAAAAAAGAAACAAAAAAATGCATAAATAAATAAAATCTAATATAACAGGACCCAATTGCATATGCCATTTGTAATTGACATTCTTGAGTAACCTATTTGTATTAGTCTTCTTCATGAATCTTAACTACCAGATTATTCCATTATATTGTTATAACACTATTTATTTCTGCATTCCCTCAAGTGGGTGTTATAGCTACTGTCTTCTCTTTATGACTAAATATGTAACATAGACCCTTGTATGGGGGACACCATCACATCCAAGATGGCATGCTTTAGAAAGGGAAAGGAGAGGATGGAAGGAAATGCCAAGGTGGTAGATTCTATGTCCTTATTTTACCACTTAACGTTAAAAGACCTAAAATAGACATGCCAAATGCCAACATTTCTTAGTTCTAAGAAGAGGAGCTATGTTGCTGTTGTTAATCACACTATTTTTATTGCTTTTGTTTAAAATATTAGTAGTTTTAAAAAGCAAAACATGCAGACTTGGAAGCTATTGAGTAAGACTTTCTGAATCTCCACCTCTTTCCTCAGAGTCCTCATGGCCCACTAGAAAGAGTAGACAACAG